GTAGTCCTCTCCCCACTGTCAAGAGTACATTTTCTATACCCCAATTGTCCCAAACATCCATGCTACCTTGAGTAAATTTCTTTCCCTGTCTGGTCCTTAATTTCCTTCTCTATAATATGGCTATGACAGGGTGGATGAGGTCAGTACAGGGGAACTGACTTCCCAGAATCCTCTTTCCCCAAGGTTATTGTCACTGGCCCTAATAATCAGTATCTTCATTATCATTGCTTGTTTCAAAACACTTTCACATACATGTCATTTGATCCTCATAACCACCCTTTAGGGTAGATAGGTATTATCCCCAATTTACAGATGAAGAAATCGAGTCTCAGATGGTCAAATGACTTGCTCAAGTTTATATAGTGTGTTTGTGCTGGAGCTGGGACTCAACCCCAGGCTTTCTTATTCTAGATCTTATGTTCTTCCCACATTGCCACTGCTTTCACATGTTCAGACTCTCTCCAGAAAACTGTAACAGCTATGTCCAGCAACCTCACCACATACACGATACACTTTTGGACAAAACCAGAGAAACGCAGGGACCAAGGGTTCTCTGATCTTATGAATAGCCGTATCAGCACAGCAGTCTATGTGTGTATGCATGTATATTGGTGTAGACACCAAGCCCATTACATCACAAAGATATACATACGGTACACTAACCTCTTCAACAGGTCACTCCTTCTTACCAGGGCAGCGAGGAGGCTGTACTTTCAGATAAGGGGAGGCCTAAGAGATCAGAACTCTGGGAGTCTGCTCTCTGTCATAAGTCCAGATCTCATTATCCCTCCCCTGAGAGCTCAAAGAGGAAAGGGTAGCTCAATTCCTTAGTTGACAAGAATAAGAAGTGAGGGGCAGGGAATTATCCTTCCTACCGATGTCAATGGGAAGCCCAGGAAGAGGAACATCAGTGGAACCAAGGATTCATTTCAAAATTCAGAGAGATGGGTCTTACATAGTTTTAGTGAGACCACTACTGTCAAGCCCAGTTCAGCCTGGTGAATCACATACCTGGACTCTAGCAATGTTACTAGCTATGGATGGACTTTGGTCAAGTCACCCAGCACCTCTTAGTTTACTTATCCAAAAATGTGGCTAATGACTGCTGGCTTTAGCTCAGGGGGTACTCAAAGTCTTCATTGACAAACTGAAAAAGCTTTAAAAATTAAATGTACTTTATGAACACACTTCATTCTTCAATAGCTGGTAAGCCAGTGTTGAGGCTTAAAAAACACTTGGGGACTGATCCACTCATTCCTTTCCAGACAGCAGGAAGTAACAGGGCTTGGGCAGCAAGCAGACAAGCCAAAAGCTTCAAGTCTCTCCAGGAAAGGCCAGGCTGCTCTGGGGCAGAGGGGCTGCCCCTGCCTGTTTGTACCTTCTCATTTGACCGACGTTTATCAAGCATTTCCTGTAGGATAGATGTTGCTCTGTGTGCTGAAAAATAAAGCACTGGGGAAAAAAATAGCTCTGCTCTCTTAGAGCTTATATTCTAGTTGTGGAAGACCAGCAAGTAAACAACAAATATGTCGAGCATTGGCAGGTGCTGTGCTGAATTAAACCGGGTAAGGTTAATAGTGACGCAGAGGGGATATTTCATAGAGGATGTTAATAGGCCACTCAGTAAGGAAGTAGGGGGCTAAGTTAGGGAACAGTCAAACCTTAGTTCTAAGTTGGAGGACACTGGAGTTCAGGAGAGATGCCGACATGTGCTGTCCAACACAGATAATTCCCTACGATGTTGGTTTGCCTCCCTAGATTCATTCTCCACTTGCCTCTTTCCTGCACTGTTGGGGGCAGAGTTGGGGAGGAGGGCTTACCCCAAAGGACTACATCCCTGGTCAACCTTGCCATCTGCCTTGCAGTAAGGTTCTGTCGAAAGGAGGTCCCAGAAGACTGGAGGATGAGATGAAAAGGAGGCTATTGATTCTCCCACTCCCCCCGCCTGGTCACAGTGCTGACAGTGGCTACATTCCTCAATGTCACAATTCCCATCTGCCTTCTTCAGTCCCTTCCATAACCTTTCCTCCCATGGTCCCCAGGGGTGGGGCTTGTTCTCTCCAGGAAGCCTGGTAGGATTAGCCTTCCAGATGAGCACTATTATGCTGTAATATGTTGCCCATAGATGCCACCTTGACTACCTTTCTCATCAGGACAGGAAGATGAGTTTGGATAATAGACACCCATGCCATCACAGACAAAATATGGACCATAGCTCCTCTCCTCTTCCAAGATTCCAGTTCCATCAACAAACTTACACCAGCAAAGACAAGAACAGAAGTTAGGGTTCGAGAGCCCCTAGGGTCCTCCCCTAAGAGCTCATTGCTCCAGAGGTTCAGCCTTCTCCATAAAATGCAGCCTACCAACTTGCTGTCTGAAGGAACCCAGTCTACCTACCTCCAACCATCAATACATTACCCAGTTTATTTCCTTGACAGTAATTTATTGCCATTGGAAAAGGCTCATATGTATATCTGCTCCACCCATTAGAACATGCGTGCCATGAAAACAAACTTGCATGCCTCATTCTCAGGTGTGAACAGCACCCTAGGCCCAAGCACGTAAAAACTTGTTTTTGAGTAACAACAAAATGAGTAAAAAGTACCTGTTCCCTAATACCTCCACAATGATTATAGTCATTACCCAGACATCAAGAGCTCAGGGTCAGGCGTGGACACTCAGAGGTGCCTCAGTACCTCCAACTTTGGGTATGTGGGACAACCAGGATAACCCAGGTGTCACAGAATCATCCCAGTTCTACCAACTTTCCATCTTTCTGAAAATCATCAGCTTTCCCTTTTCTGAGTGACCAGAGCAGGACTTCACTAACAGACCATGTCCAGATGTCAGGGAAGAATGAGGCAAGCTAGGAGTTTTGGGAATGGTTCTAAGTGAAGTCCTCCAGATCTAACATAGCAATCGCAGAATGATGTCCTGGACCTGCAAACTGGGAAGGCAGGCGGCATCCACCACATCAAAGACCCAGATGCGTGGATCATCTGACCATCTATACCAAGGGAGGTATGATCCAAGAAACTTTATTAAGGTGAACGCTGCTGGATAGTTCTCCCCCATTTAAGGGGCCCACGCCTAGGCCCTACACCCAAGACTTGATTCAGGCCTATTAGTATCTTTCTGCCTCGTCTTCTCTCTTTAGCCTACATTCTACTCCTCTCCCCAGTTTGTGACACCACTGCCACCAGGTCAGCCCTTTTACCCCCAAAGAAACCCAAACAGCTCAGAAGTGCATCAATCGACCTTTAATGTCCAAAAGAGGCATGGATGCAGAGCATAGGAAATGTGGAGGGGTCTCAGCCCCTGCTCCAGAAATGAAGGAGAAATGAACACAAACCAGACATTTCCAACTGGCCACACAAATCTGGGAGGGCAGGGGAAAACACAGATTTGGACATTCATTAAAAAAATAAACCTAAAATCAAGCTATCGATCTTGTGCCCACCGAAGTGTTTGATATAGGGAACACATTCACCATCCCTGTCCCCACCCTCCTATCAGCATCAAAAAGAAAACTTGTCACACATTCTCCTGCCTCCCCACCAGCCCCAAGGATGGACTTGGAAAAAAAAGAATGAGCTGGATCCCAACCCCCACCCACCCACAGTATCAACCCGACAAGAGTTTTGAATGTGATTTACAAGAATCAGCAGCTAGATCAGCAATGACTCCCCCCACCCTTACCCTACCCATTTGATCAACACACAAGATTTCCCCAGCACTTTCCTCAGAATCTCCTCCCACTAGCTACCCTGCTCCATCTCCTGATACCAGACTTCATCATTCAAGACTTACCACCTCCAAAGTTCCCCCAAAGCCCCTTATAACCCTTTATCACTTCCATCCTTAGTTCCCCTCATAAGCTTTTATCACTTCCATCCCTATCTCCTACAAGAAGCTGCAACCATCCACAGTCACCTGCCCTCTCCACTAAGACTCAGCTCCGGGACAGATGGTCATCTCCCTGCGGGCCATCTTCCTAAAGCCTTCCTGAGCACAGACGACCACAGGGCAAGCAGAATGTCTGGGCCAAATGGCCGAGGGGAATGATAACTGTTTTCACCCCTGAAACATATACTTCTAGGTTTTTAAACATCCAGGCCCACTTAGAACTAAGTGTGAATCCTATGTGAATCCCATACACTCGAGATTCCATACTGTCCTGCCCCACCCTCCCCTCTAACCCAAACACACACACACACACAAAAACACACACACAGAGGAGAATCAAGGGAGACATTGATTTGGTTTGATTGCTAAGATCTAACTAAGGAACTAGTCACCAGAAATTCCCTTGTCAGCCAACTAACAGGGGCTGTTCTAAGAGAACTCCAGAGGAATGAGAAAACTAAGGGCTAAGCAGGGAGCAGACAGAAGGAGAGAAGGAAAAAAAAAAAAAAATCAAGCTAATCCTAACCCCCCCCCAAAATCCTCCTTGCATAAGCTCTGGCAGGAAGAATAAAAGAAATTAATCCACAAAGACACAGCCCTTACTTAGAAACTCTTCTGACAAAGACAGCAAGACAAATCTGCTCCCCACTCCCACACACCACAGACAAACACGTCTCAGGGCCCCTTGAAGAATCCACCCGCCCATCCCACCCTCTCTGCCCTAAGCCGTGGAATCACAGTTCAGTGGAATATTCTTCCTGGTACTAGATCAATCCCCCCACCCTCCTTCCTATCCCTCTCTCCTTGTCAATCCTAGTACTGTCCCCCCACAGCCTATCTTGCCCTCCCAAAGCAGCATCCACCACCAGGAAGACGCAGCTGCACAGTTTTAGCTCCACCACCTCCAGAAACCTATTTCTTTTCCTCAGCCCTCCTAGTCTTGTGGGCTTTGTTGAGGGCTTTTTATTTTGTACAGGGAGAGAAAGGAAAAAGGGAGGGGTGGGAGATTTCCTAGTGCAACACAACCAAAATAATTTTTTTAAGTCTTGAGAAATAAACAAAGCAGCCTTCTTCCCCAGGCAACTAAACAGAAAGAAGTTTGGTTTTGTTTACTGCGACATACACATGAAATCGAGTATACAGTCCATGCAGTAGCACAGCCATTGGAGAGGACATCCTGATGCTGGCCCCAGTGCAAAACAGTCCCAGCAACGCCGCCTGCTTGCCATCGCTGCCGCCGCCACTGACACCATCACTGCGGCCACCTAGCCTGACTTGAAGAGGAGGATTGCAACTTGACCCAAGTAAAAATAGATGAAGTGCTTTGTCTCATGTGTGACGTAGCTGCCAAAATTTCGGCCCACAATACAATGCCAGGTAGGGTTATATTTCTTGTCAAATTCCTAAAAGAATAAAAATGGAGAAAAGAAAGATGATTAGGACAGCTGAAGGATGAGAAACCAGAATGGAGGTTTCCCCCAGAAGACAAGTTTAGTTATCATCCTCACCCCACCGCCCAGCCCCCAGTCCCAGCCCATGGCCTCAGCTCCCTGAACCTCAGCAGCTCAGGTTCTAACGCTGGCTAGGACACTCCTTCCCTCATTAATAATGGAACCACAAAGGCTCCATTATTTCTCTCTAGCACTCTATACCCTATACACCCTGCTCAACTCTCCTCCCTCTAGCTACTCTACTCTTCAGTCCACCTTATGATTCTTCAGTAAGGGAATCAGAGAAGCCAATGAAATAAAGGATCAACCCAGAGTCATACAGCATTAGTAAACAGAGAAGCAAGACTTCCTGACTCACCATCTGCTGCCTCCCGTATTATTAAACCAGCATTTCAAAATGCCAAAGAACCAAGACGTTAGAGCAAAATGAGGAACAAACATCAGAGTACCTGGGAGAAGTTCTCTATAAGTCAACATTAAAGGCACTCCCACGTGCCAGGCACTATGTAGACTATAAGCACCAGAACAAGGATCTCTGTTATGAGATTAAGGCAATCCCTCACTTCTCCAGGGCTCAAGTTTAGCATCAAAACCACCTAGGAAATTCTTGTGACCAAGTCAGGCAGATAGCCATCCTCTGGACACAGCAGGAAGCAGATGGCTCAATTCTAAAGGCACCCTGCCATAGCCATGAAAGGACAGAAGCCCTCCACCATGGGTCCACCAATGCTGTCAACACTGAGGCTCTGTCCCCCAGGTATTCAAAATATACTTGTTTAGCCTCCACACAGGACCTACATTACATGATTCCAAGACGTGGCAGATAATAGAAAAAAGGGCATGGGCCACCAAACCAAGTTAGAATCCTGACTCAAGACCTTGTGTAACATGGAAGAGACAGTCACTTCCCTAGGTCTCATTTTTCTCATCATCAAAATAAGAAAACTGGACCCAACATAATCTAAGGGCTCTCACTCTGAGAGTCCATGATTCTGCAGTGTCTCCCTGCAAAGGATAGCAAGGCCAACATTCAGCAAGAAGCCAGCACTCCCAGAAGCCTTAGCCCCTCACTCATCCCAACCAACTGGGAAGGAAAGCAGAGTTCTGCAAAACTCAAGGGCACCCTGCCACATCTCTGGTCCACAGTGCCACTACTCACAGACATCCTCCTTAGTAGCCAGAACAGACAGTATCAAAGTCTGGGTCAAAGTGGTCAATGAACATGGGATCCTGCCTGGGAGCCAGGGACTCTAGTATCACTTCTCATTTCTAGTCCAGCAGTTTCCTCACCATGTTAGCCACATCCATTCACCCATTCAGCAGGAATTTTTCAAGGACTAAAATATTGTTCATCTGTAATTACATAATCAAACTTTCTCTTAAGAATGTGGGGAAAAGGGATGATGCAGTACCTGATTACTTTGAGATATGGAAACCTCCTATGTGAGGATTATTACAGGGATATCCCACTTTAAATGAAAATTTGTTTATGATTGTATCTGTCCGAAAGTTCTTAATCCTCATTTTGTATAAGTTCTGAACTGGACCTGTTATTAATTCTGAAACTTCTCTCCCAATGCCTTGCAATTCCTATGAATCACATACACACACAAACATGCCAGCAGTTTCTTATTAAGAACCCCTAAGGTGAATGCTTGGCAATAAGGAATCACTCCCTAATTTGTATGCTTTGCAAGCTCCCATGGTTTGCTTGCGTGTGTCTCTCTGCTGTTCCGTGGCCCAGCTGCAGCCCTCCCCAGGATATGGCGGGCCCATGGTGCCTGGCCCCAGCACATATCTCCCCGCACACCTTCTTGATGTAGGCGGCGATGTCCTTCTCTATGTTGTACTTCTCCATGGCCTGTGTGGCGCAGTCGACGGCATCCTGCTGCATGTCCTCAGACATGTCTGCGTTCTTGATCACTGCCTTCCGGTCAGACATCGTGACACTGCAGAAGAAGCAGAGGTGAGGCTGACAAACCCATGCTCTAACCAGTGCACGTTACAGCCTGTGTGGCCACAATGGAAAGGGAGGAGAGAAGGTGAAGGAAACAGACACACAGGCATGAGACAATAGGAGCGGGAGCTCAAACTTTTAATAGGCATGGTTCCCAAGCCCGGGAAATATAAGTAAATAGTAAAAGTAAAAAGTAAATAGTAAAAAAGACAAGTCCTAATTTTTATATGTAAAATTCAGTTTTTAACTCTAAATATATTTCTGATTATTTTGAATACCACCAATATTCCAGATATTACAGTATGTCACGTACCATCTATGTCTTGAGGCAAGCTACTTAGCCTTTGTCCTTTCATGCCGCCATCCTAAAGTGGGGACTGCAGGTTACCCTGAGGTAAACAGGTGGCACAACACCTGAACACAGTTAAGTCCTTCATTTCATGACCATTATTACATCACTGGGATAAAGTGGGAAGAAGATGGAGTAGGAATCAGTAGGCCTGACTTCTAGTGCCAACTACAAAATCCTGTGGTCTAGACAAGTCACTTAGCTTTTCTGCACTGAACTACTTTTGTCTTAGCAATGAGGAAAGGTCTCTGTTTGGGGGTTTTATAAGGCTTACCTCAGGCTATATGAAAACAGCTGCAAACAAGGATGGACTACACAGGGGTCTTCCTATCAGCCAAACTCAGTTTACCATGTGTTTTTGTAAATAAAAATATATAAGAACACACTATGATGACACAGTGAAGTAGTTGTGAGAAAGGCCTGTAGCCTGAAAAGTTTATTTTCTTCACAGTAAGGTTGCTAATCCTTAGGCTACCAATGCCCAGTGGTGACAGAGATGCAAAAGATGAATTACTACTATTATTTTAACAATCTTGTTTCAGGTTTCTTATCTCTGCTCCCTGGGCCATGCCATGCATCCTGGAGCAACCAGAATTCTGCAGTAGACCTCGCACAATCCCTTTCCAGGATGACAGGAATCCCAGGGAGGCCAGGTTCTGCCTGGCAGGCTATAGCATATGAGGTGCTTTGTAGGAACAGAAGAAATGAGTTGCAAAATCCTCTGCTCTGTCCTTGACTACAGTGTGTCACACAGAACAGTAACATCTGCATCCCCGCCCCCCTGCCCCACCACCTCATCCCACCTCCCATAGTGCCACACACTGTGGCCCAGAGCAGTGGACAAAAGCCCTGTTCTAGTTTGATACAAGGCTACAAAGGGCCTGTCTGCTCCAGGAGAGATCCCTGGTATCATTCCAGGCCACTTTGATCTCTGAGTCCACACTAACCTGTGGGGCTGGTTGAGCTGAAAGGGGAAGCACAGCTCATGACTACTCCTGCAGTCGACACCAGATGCAACTAATGCAAGCTTGCCAGGTGCCAACCAGGCAGCCTTTGATCCAAGGCACCTTTGTCTGGCACTGTCAAACTAAGCAGCGTTGGTTATACTTTCAAGCAGAGGGTGACTGAGCAAAGGGTTAGTGGACCAGCACCTTCTGCCTCACAACCCTGAGAAAAAAGTCAACCTTCAAAAGGAGTCTGTGAGCACCAATTGGCGCTGAAAAAAGGTCAGGAGAACCCTTTTCAAGGCGTGTCTAGCTATATGACCTTGACCAAATCAACATGTTCATTTTTAAAAGGCACAACTGAAACAGGGTAAGTGGGGCAACTTCAATGGGTTATAGTAAAAGGCACAAGAACATCGCAGGGAGAATGTTCTGATATAAGGGTCTTTCTTCCTGGGGGGAAAAAGTGTCACCTGGTGGCCTAGTCCAGGTTATCATTCAGAAGGGGGCACTATTTACAAACCCAATGGTGGGGTTGGGGCCTAGTTACAGACCTCAGAGGGAAAGTAGGAAATTGGCACTGTTTTCCCTGCAAACTCACCAGCTTCACTGTCTCATCCCCAAAGTCCAAAGGAACAGCTCTGTCACAGTAATTAAAAGGCACCTTACTCTCCAGGAGAGAGCCTGCCGTTACATAACGTTGGTCTTGTGACTACAATACCTCAATTCTTCACCCCTGGCCCCCCAGGGCTGAGAAGTGAGGCCTAATCCCAACCTCCTCTGTCCAAGGTGCCAGTGAGAAAATGATAGGGAGCCGCCTAGTTGAGCACCTCCCTCCTGGGAAGGGAAAGCAAGGCACCTGGGTCTCCAGACAGAAAGATGACCAGAAGGCCCCTGGCCGACTGCCTCAGGCATGGGCCACGGGCTCCTTCCACAAGCAAAAAAGGACACACTTCAAACCAGTTCCCCCCTTCGCCCCCCGATTTTGCGACAGAAAAGGCTCCACCTCAGGATGACACGGACGCCCTCTCCACCCCAAACACACACGCGTGTGCTTCCACCCTTCAGCTCTCCAAGGGGGCGGTATCTCTCCCTCCACCGCCCCGTCCCCCGGGGAGCGGCGGTCCCGAAGGCCAGCACCTGGGGAATGAGAAGGCACGAGGGCATCTTCCCAGGGCCCCCGCGGCCACCCTCGACGCGCGGCCGGGTCCGCGGGCCCCGGCTGGCCAGCCCCCTCCCCCTTCGGGCTGGAGCCGCGCCGGAGTGACTGGGCGTCCTCCTCGCCGCAGGAAGGGCGCCCCAGAGGGTGGCGGCCGCGACAGGAGCCGCGTCACACCCCGGCCCTCTCCACCCCCTCTCTCCGGCCCCAAACACCAGGGGCCTCCACGCAGCGCTGGCGGACCTCAGGGTGGGGGGTGGAGACGGAGAAGAGGCTCCTCCGCGGCCTGGGGCTCCGGCGACGCCTGAGGGGTCGCGAGGGCGCCGGGTGGCGCAGCTCGGACGAGGCGGCGGCCGGGGTCGTCCGCGCCGAGGCCTGCCCTGCTGCGGGCCTCGGGCCCGGGCGCCGCGTGGGGCGAGGAGGCCGCAGGGGCATCGCGGCCCAGACCGAGCGCCGGGCGCCGCCCCGGGGCCGCCCCCACCCACCCTCACCTTCACGGAGGCAAGGCCCCGGGGGCGCAGCGGTGGCCTGAGCGGGCGCGGGCAGGGGCGCTGTCCCCTCGGCTCCTCCAGCAGCAGCCGCCGCCGCCGCGGTCTCGGCTCCCGCAGCCCCGGGCCGACCGCTCGCCGCCGCCGCCGTCCGCCCTTCGAGCTTCCCCGGCCGCCCGCGCTCCGCCTCGCGCCTGCCGGGCCGCCCGCTCCGCGCTGGCACCTCACCGCTCCGCTCCGCTCCGCCGCCCAGCGCGGCCGACGCGCGGCCCTGAAATAGCGCCCCGCCCCCGCCCCCCCGCCGCGCGCGCTGCCGTCCGCGCTGCTCATTGGCTGCGCCCGCCCGGCCCCGCACTGCGGGCTTCTCCCCGCGCCGCTCTCGCCCCACATCTTGTTTCCTCCCACAATGCCTCGGGGCGGAGGGAGGGGGAGGGGAGGGGAGGGGAGGGGTGGGGAGCCGTGAGGGTGGGGGGAGGGAGCGTGGCCTTAAGGGGAGAAAAAAAGAACTTCGACCCCTCCACCCAGGGCCGGAGAGGCACGGCCTAGAAAGGAATAAAGAGGCGCTCAGAGAGAGGGAGGGGCGTGAAGACCCCAATCTCAAGGAGAAATAAAGGGAGCGAGGGGATGGAAATTTCAGCCCCCAGGGAGTAGAGGGCGAAGGGGGACGATGCCATCATGCCTGAATGGCACCCCTTTCTGCACCCCCTTCCCAGACCGTTGGGAAGGAGAGGAACAGCCAGCCCTGCAAAGCGTAAAGACCTAAGCAGCCTGGGGGCTCTCTCCCCGCCCTGGCTTTCAAGGAAGGTCCCTGCCCTTCAGCTCAGCCTTTGTTCCTGAGTCTCAAGACAACAGGCCCCCTAAACTCCCAGCTGGGACCCCAGCTGCTATCCAGAGCCTTGGAGGTAGACCCTGATAACACTTGTGAGGAGAGAGGTTTGTCTTTGACACAAGGCATCTGGGGTAGAGGTGAGAGTAGGCCATTTTTGGTGGGTGAGTCCGCCCCTACCAGTCTGGTTAGACAGGACTGGAAGTGAATAGAACCCTCTAGAGATGTGAACCATAGCATGTCAGAGCTGTGAGGACCTTAAATTCACTTTTACACCTTCCTCACCTACCTAGTAGAGAACCAAGGTACAGAGAGGGAGGAGCCAGATCACTGCAGGTCAGGCCTAGACTTGGCTTCTAGGCTGAAAAGTAGTGTTTCTAGAAAGCATCACCTCTGGTGGCTGATCAGGCTGTTTGCGGAATGTGTGTAACTGCATGTGCTCATAGGGCAAAGTGCCTGCCCTCTGCTCCACCCCACCCACCTCCAAAGGAAAACAGAAAATGTCTGCTTTTTCTTCACTCTGTTTCACAAAGGAAGTTTCTACCTAAAGGGGGGTGGGGTGGGGGATGTGTGTGTGTAAAGGTCTTCAATGGGTGCCAAGCATGTGGGTTACACAGTGAGGTTTAAGAAGCCCCATTGTGCCTTCACCATGGTCAAGAAGTCAGACTTCTCTGGCCCTGGACATTCTGATTTGGAGCATTATCATTTAGTGTTCATTATGTCAAGGGAAACCTGGAAAATCTTTCCCTCCCACGGCTCTGTCATCTCCCAAACTCAATCAAGGGGAATTCAGAGAAACAGGCAAAGCCTGAGGTAACCCCTCACACCAAGGGTATTCTGATGTCAGCCTCTGTGTGAATGAATGGGGGGCGGGGCACATTCATGGTGGTTTATCTGCTTAGGGCTTATGGAGAAATAATCTTTTGGAAGACTGGGAGAGGAACTAGTATCCTTTTTCTCCAGGGTCACTAATTTGTAGGCCCTCCTAGAACCTGAAAGAACTGCCATGTATGGTTGTGTGAATTGTTCAGTGGCATTCAACCTATGGAGCAAGTGGGGACAAAATGCAGCCTGTGCTTCACTTACTAAGCTCTTCCTCTCAAAAAAAAAGCACATACTTTTTTCAAGTGTGCATAAAGATGACTATGAACTATAGATGACCCCTCTGATGTCATGCTGCTTGGGTATGAATTTTCCCTCTTCCTGATTTTTCTCTTTGCTAGAGTGGGGCAAGAACTTAGTCACTCCCAGTCCTGGGCTATGATGGGGACGCAGAATAGAGACAGAATTTCAATTGACAGGAATCAGAGTCAGGACTTCTGACTTTTAATAAACATGGTCTGTGGGGGGGAGGTGGGGTGAGGTTATCCACTTAGGGCTTATGGAGAACTAATCTCTTGATAACTAGGAGAACTAGCACCCTCTTTCTCCAGGATCATTAGAATATAAACTCTAGGCTATCAGGGAGACTTGCTAAATAGTACAGTTTATAGATAATAATGTCTGTGGGAACTTTGTTAGATTCTGTTTTAAATGCATTAGTGCAATTAATCCCAGTAACAATCAGATTGAATATGTCACTATCCCCCTAATGTAGATGAGGAAATTCTCTCAAGTTCAGTTACTTGCCCAAGATCACCCAGCTGGTCAGTAGCAGGATTCAAACCCAGCCTGTCTGTTCCCAGGGCCTACACTTTTAGCCATTCCACATCCTGCCTCCGAACAGAGGAAAGAAAGTCTACACCAGTGTTTGGCTCTCTACCTAATTTATACCAGCATTTCCTAAGCTTGACTGAGTCCAAAGCCCTTTTTTATCCAAACATTTATTAACAGCTCCAGGAACTACTATTCCACAGGACACAGTTTGGGAAACTTGTGCTATACTAATTACTGCTATTTATGTAAAATGCTTACTGTTTAGGATAATTACTATGCA